TCTATCTATCTATCTATCTATCTATCTATCTATCTATCTATCTATCTATCTATCTATCTATCTATCTATCTACCTACCTACCTACCTACCTACCTACCTACCTACATACATACATACATACACACACACACACACACTTTTATTTCATTCATCGTCCTTAATTATAAATTGCTAACCTGCTTCTATTCTCTATCCATTTATAAAATAGGTCCCAAATTAAATAGTATTATTTCCTCTTGATCCATAATTTTCATCATTAACCTGTCCATTTTGACATAGTCTAATATTTTCTTTATTACATTTTCATCTATAGGTATATAAGTATATTTCTGTTTTTCCAATTTTGTGTGTATATAGTTCTCACTGGCGTTATTACATGTAATATTAAATATGTACTTATTTTATTATATTTTCTCAGTAATATACCTAGCAAGAACAATTCTGGTTTTATTTGTGTTGTCATTTCTTCTAATCACCTTTTTATCTTTAACCAATATTTTTTTCGCCGTTGGACAGGTCCACCACATATGGTAATAGGAACCCAGTATCTGTTTACATTTCTAGCACGTTGGTGATATGTTTTAGAACATCTTTGCCATTCTTGCTAGTGCCAAATGCCATCTGTAGAACATTTTGTAAAGGTTTTCTTTATATCCTATTGACATAGTTTGTAGTTTCTTTCCCAAAGTTTTTGCCATATATATAAATTGGCCTATGCTATTATGGTTTCTTTTACATGCTTCATCGGTTCTAAAGCTTCTTGGATGACAACTGATGAAGCTTCTTGGATGAGAAGCGAAACTTCTTCTTCCTCAGGGAAAAAAAACAGTCAGTTGCCTTTTGAAAAAGCATCTTGGAGTCAAGTTGAGCAAGTTGGTTATAGAACCCCATGTATATCCTCTGATGTGGCTTAATTTCTCCTCTGATCTGAATAAGATTGCTAGGTGGAATAGACAGAAAGTCTTTGGGATGTAAATAACCAACTTGACAAGATTGAAGAAGCTATTTGGATAAACAACAAAATATTGGCTGCCCCAAAAGAGTTTGGGGCATTTGTCTCCTGTTTGAGCAGAGGGTTGAACTAGAAGACCTCCAAGATCCTTTTCAACTCTGTTATTCTGTTTCGAACCAACAAAAAAAGAAGTCCCTTTCTGATAAAAGACGGAGGGGTTGGGGGGTGGGGGGTGGAGACAATAAAAGACATGAGAAGACAAGGACCCCATCTTTCCTATAGAGAATTACCTCCTGGTTTGCTGGGCCTTCTCAGGCTTGTTAATCCATTTCAGAAAAGGTTTCCCGCATTTCTGGAGCGCCACCTGGGCTTGTATGCAAAGGCCTGAGGAACTGGGTTCATTAGCTGCCTGCTGCAAGAGCAGTAGAGGATTCTGGGAAAGCAGCCCAAAGTTTCTTTGCAAAAAGTCAGAGAATAAGTTGACTTCCTCACTGGCTTCTGAGCCAGCAGCTGTTGCTACAGAAGACAAAGGAGAGATTCATATTTTCAATCAATTTTAGGATACCCTGTTTCCCCCAAAATAAGACCTCCCTGGATAATAAGTCCAATTGGGCTTTTGAGCACATGCACTAAAATAAGCCCTCCCCTGAAAATAAGCCCTCCCTGAAAATATTTTAACACATGTGCAGCCAGTCCCCGCCATTTCCTGTGGTTGCTTGCCGCGTAAACAATACGAGGTGAGGAAGCGAGGCCGGAGAGGGGGAAAGGGAGGGGGAACATGCCCCATGCACCCCACATGCCCTTACGTAACGGCCACTCCCACAACCCCAGCCACCATGCCCCTTCTGTCACTAATGGGCACCGCAAAAAGAGTGGCAGACCCAATGATGTGCAACATAGCAGTAGCCATGAGGTGACCACGCTCGCCGCCTCCTACACCCCAAAAATAATAAGCCCTCCCCGAAATTAAGGCCAAGCACTTATTTCGGGGGGTCAAAAGAAAATAAGACCCTGTCTTATTTTCAGGGAAACACGGTACTTGTATGTCTACAGAACATACAAGGGACTGGCCCTTGCAAGGCCAATCCCTAAATCAGATATGTCCAACTTTGGCAACTATAAGACCTGTGGACTTCAACTCCCAGAATTCCACAGCCAGCATGTGGAATTCTGGGAGATGAAGTCCACAGGTCTTAAAGTTGCCAAGGTTGGACATCCCTGCCCTGAATGAAGCCTGCAATTTTTCCCTCCCAGCTAAAAAATTGCAGCCATTTTCCAAGTCTGTGACTTGGGAAGAGGGGGGGGGGGGGAATCACAACAATGCTTTTTGAGCCCCTATTTTCAATCCCAAAGTGGCTCACCGTAGAGTGCATGGGCTTCAGAGAGGCTACGGAGGAGGCCGAGATGAAGATGAGCACCGATAATCGTTAAATCAGTCAGGAAAGAAGCCAGAACATCCAAATGGCCACTTTGGACCTGTGGAAGAATTATTATAATTCAAGAAGAGTGGTCAATGCCTGGAATGCACTACCTACTCCGTAGTTACATCCTCAAACCCTCACAGCTTCAACCTTAAACTGTCTACTGTGGACCTCACCCCATTCCTCAGAGGTCTGTAAGGGGGCATGCATAAGCGCATCAGTGTCGCTTCCATCTCTGTCCTTCTATCCCTACTTATTCGTATCCATTTCCTGCATTCATAATCATGTTTATACTTATATCTGTTATACATGATTGACAAAATAAATAAAATAAAAATAAACTTTGGCAACTTGGAAATTTGTAGACTTCAACTCCCAGAATTCCCCAGCCAGGAAGGGAACTAGGAGGCCGTGAGTTCTAGTCCTATTTTGGGCACAAAGCTAACTAGATTATCTTGAGCCAGTCATTTTCACCCAACCCTAGGAAGGAGGCAATGGCAAAACACTTCCAAAAAACTTTGCCAAAAAATATGCAAGGAACTTGCAAGGGAGCCTCCAAAAATCAGACATGACTGAACAGAAGGGGAGGGGGGGGAATAAAGAACTCTGTATGTAAAGATCTGTTTTAAAATGGATTTTTTCCCTAAAAAGATGTACTTCCAGTTCCTTATGTACACAAAATCTATTATTTTGCTTGCTTTTCTCTATAACCATTTAAATCTCCAAGAAACTGCTTTTATTCAGACAAATTCAGCTTCTCTAAAGTTTAGAAGCTTTCAAGTTACTTACCAAGTGGTATGGCAGAGCAGTTAATGCCTCTGCCTCAGACTTCTGGAAGGTCCGGGAGCCATCTGGGTCTGAAAGTTTCCACCAGTGAGCTACAGAAGAGAAAAATATTAGGCAACTGCTCATTACTGCCCCCAACAGGTTGAATTTAAACACTGTCTCCCACTATGAAAAATACTGCTTCCCTCTACAGGTTGCCTGGGGTGCTGCAATGATCTGTTCAATGATGACACAATTAAACACAAGTACACATAGATCTCAAAAAGTACAGTGAATGAATCTCACCAAATGTTCTCATTATTCTAATTTGTATTATCCAAAGTGATATTTTTATGGAAATGTGAAAATTGGCTCCAGCTCAATGGAAATGGGGGATAAAAATTTTTAAATATAAATTTGGTATGTATTAGTGGTGGGTTGCAGATTCCGTTCCAACTGGTACGGTTGGAACGCCCCTGGCGTCACCTACATGCATGCATGTGATGTACGCCTGCATTGTAGTGTCAAATGATGCTTCCGTAAGCCTCCGCAATGCTCCAGTTGCTCAGTGGGGCGTCATGCAGGCGCTGTACGTGCCATGCGCATGTGCGGAAGCGCTGACAGCTTTAAAACACAGTAAGTAGTGCAGGCAGGCGGGTGGGCCCCCCAGAGCACCGTACCGGAACGGTAGCTAGTGCTCCAGGCAGGATCTGGTATGCCCGTACCGGGGCGTACCGCCTGCAACCCACCACTGGTATGTATATTAATGAAGTATTACAGAAAACAATGTAAATAATATACTTTTAATTTAAACTGTTAATTTAAAGAGTCTCAGTGCAGTTACAGAAAGCAAAATACACATACAATCCTCAATTTACAATGGGTTCACCGCAATATTCGCTTAACGATTGATGCAAAAAAGGTCATAAAGTCAGGTCAGTCCTGTGATGACCTGCTTTACAACGGTCACAACTTATAACCCTAATTGTCAGGCTCAACTATGGTCATAAGTGAAGGACTAACTGTAAAAGCAATAACAATTCTATTGTAGATTCAGGTACATTAATATCTTTAGCATTTTGGCACTGTTACGACCATGTTCATATTTTTCAGTTACATCAAATTTTTGCCCTAATATAATTAGGACAAATTCTTTGTTAAACTTCTACTGTTCTCTTCAGACAGTCTCTTTCTTGTCTCCAAAGCTCCTGAAGGCAAGACAAGAAGCAATGGATAGAGACTCTAGAAACAGTGCAGAGAAGAGCAACAAAGATGATTAGGGGACTGGAGGCTAAAACATATGAGGAACGNGCTGACTCAATTTGCTAAAAAAATTTGTAAACCGCTTAGAGAGGGCTGAAAGCCCTATGAAGCGGTATATAAGTCTAATAAATAAATAAATAAATTCAGCAAGACTCAACCAAGCTGGGACTCAGAACCGCCTACAGAATTGTCCCTGCAACTCTGACAACCAAAAAGAATACAAGCTCAAATTCGAAAGCCTAGAGAGGGTATAAAACTCAGGCACTCTCAGCATCTCTTCCCCTTTCAAGGCATGTAATCCTGGTCCACCATTAAAACCATCTTTCCAAACGGCCTCCATGAATCAAGTGTCTTTTCCCCACACTTGGAACTGAAGGACATTTCTTCCAACAAACCGTGGGAAGAAAGGTCGCAAAACCGGGAACAGGATTTACTTAATAACTGTCTTGCTTAGCAAAGGAAATTCTGGTCCCAGTTGCAGTCGTAATTCCAGGACTATCTGTATTCAAGATTAAAAAAAATTTCCCTCAGCCCGTAATACCTGCATCCTTCTCTCAGGCTCCAGAGTTCAAAGCGTCCATTGAATGCCCCGAGACAAACCGTTGTTTCAGACAAGAAGGCACAGGCCGAGATTCCATCACAAGAGGTCAGCAAGGATTTCTGTTCCTAAATCATCGGAAGGGGGAGAATTCGCAATCAGAAATCATATCCAATGACCCTCTTTTACCCAACCATATTCATCCAATGCAAATATTTTTTTGCTTTGTGAATTTGGGCAGAGGGCTATAATGCAGCAACTTACGCAGGATTCAATTTCAAAGATAAAAAATATTGTTTTTAGCAGTTTTTCTTCTTTCTTCATAGTGGCACTTGGCTCAGGTCTCTAAAACTCCTTTTCCTTATTGTTGAAAATAATATATTTGTTTTATATGGTTAACTTTTCATCAACGCCATACTGAGCAATAACGGTACCTCATTGTAACTTATTTGTTTGCTTACTGATTATCTTTGCATCATTTTTGAATTTTACTTATTTGTTTTCTTTCTTTTTTTAAAAAAAAGAAAATTAGTTAAAAATGGTTTTAAAAAAGGCAAAAAGGTACATGGAAGGTGTGTATATAACATATCTCAGCAGCTCTTTAAACCAACTCTTTCCGTTCCCAAGGTTGTGTGACAACTGTGCAGCCCTGCAAAAACAGACAATTGCTCTAAAGAAATGCAGATATGTTCTAATTCGGTGCTTCCCAAAACCTGGAGAAATTACCCCAAATTAGCTAAAAGTGGTTTTTGTTTGGGTAATCACCCATAAACCCATTATCCATCACAACAGCCACATTTAAACCAGTGGTGGGTTTCAAAAATTGTTCGAACCTACTCTGTGGGTGTGGCCTCCTTTGTGGGAGTGGCTTCCTGTCCATGTGACCGGATGGGAGTGGCTTGCCGCCCATGTGACCGGATATGAAGATG